GAAGGAGCACCAGGCGATGATTTGGATGTCTCAAGTAATATCTGCAGTATATTACATGCATACGGTGAGCATTTCAAAAAGCGCTGAAGTCATTATGACCATCAGCAAACAAGCGATAACAGAAATACGTAACACCGTTTAGCGTGGAATTGTACATCGCGATCTCAAATTGGAAAATATCGTCATCTTTCCGGACGAAGGCATCATCAAAATCAGTGATTTCGGATTCGCACGTAGCGTAGGTTTTTCTCGGATTACTTGACAGGGACCTTCTACAAAATAGCGCATAATGACCAGGGCTTCTACAATAACTACCGAGTTTCGCGCGTATGTTGTGTATCCTGCACAGCTACCACTGATGTGTTACAAGGCTTCTGTCAACCAAAGGGTGAGAGCGTAGCTGGAAAAGCACACACTTTGTGTCTTATTGGGACTAAGCCTTTTGAAGAAGATAAAGAAAGAGGAGATGCTGTGATAGTGTGCACTTGTGAGAGCTCCCAGACATCACTACAAAACGCTGAACCGCCAAGCCTCACGGTTGACAGAAGTCCTGAGACCCACTGATGCTCACTTTCACTAACAACGCTGCAATGTTGGAGAGTAGCTGCGATTAGACCACATGGGTAGTCTATGTAGTAAAGTGTATTGAAACATCACAATCACATCTCATTAGGTTGTACCATGACATCATAACGTTTCCTACCTGAGAAGGCTTTGAAACTTCCCGAACCTTTAGATGTAAACTTGCTAAAACATGAGGGTCAAGAATATTGTCACAAATATGGAAACCGAAATGCTACGTGAACTTTCCGAGCAAGTTGTGAGCGTCTCACTTTGGCAAGAAAGGCCCCTGTGCCAAAAGTGAATGTCATTTTCACGATCAAGGCAACTGGTTGTCCCTCTCGGCAAACATTGGGAGAAAATTAAGAGCGCTGACACGTCGACATGCTCAAACTTTCGCACCAAAGAAATGGTTCATACACTTGAATGAGAGAGTGTTAATGTGTCGTTTCAGGTGATACGAGGGGACGCCCTTTCCGAAACATACTGCGGATCGAAATCATATTCTGCACCGGAAATATTGAAAGGCGAGCCATATGATCCATACAAATCCGATGTTTGGTAAGCCGTTTCATCCCTATATTCATACAATTCCAAAGTGGACTTTCGCAATCGCACAATTGGAATGAAGAATGAATACGTTAAAAATTACCCTACACCAACTTCGCTGTCACGTATTAGACGCCTAGCCAGAATGTAAAAGCGTTTGAATGCGTAATGGGCATTTAACTATTCCGAGTCTTGCTGGTGGAATGGCCACACCAATGTTAGAGTCTGCTTGCCAACTACTCCACTGATTAGATGGTTGTTCTGACCCTTTCTTTGAAATTTTGCTTTGCACTCGCCACTTGATTTATGTGGAAGATGAGATGGAAAAAAAAATTTCCTCTCATTGAAATTCAAGGCTGAAAGGGTTAGATGTCCTGCTGAGACCAACTATGTTCAAATAAGCGCTTCTGCCTTCACAGAGCCTGATAGCTAGTTAGCAAACATTGATAAGTTTGAGGAATCAATCACTGCCGCTGAGGACTTTGACTCCGGATCAAGTATACGCTGGCGGTACTTTTGTCCCATACGACATTTTCGAATATATTGAAGTTCAATATGGACTGATGAGAAACTCCATCGTTTTAAGGTCAGTTGGAGTGATCGCATTTGTGATCGTGACAGACTGCATGCCGTATTGTGAAAAGCGTCAAATCCACAAATTGTGGAAGCACAGAGGTGAACAGAAGTAAATCTTAAGGCCGATGTCAGCCTATTGGCGAATCGCGCGATTCGCTACTAGCGATTCGCGCGATTCGCTAGCGTCCGCGGTCGCGTTGCGGTACCAGCCAATTGAGTGATTCACTGGCCGCGACGCGACCGACGCTAGCGAATCGCGCGATTCGCAAAGTCTGACATCGGCCTAACAGCGAAAACCTACCTATGGGTTTACGGTTAAATTTGCTTACTTTGAGTATAGAACACTCCATGTGATTGAAAAACACATTTTCAGACTTCGAGCGTATGAATATCCCGCTAAACTACATCTCTCAGCCGAGTGTCGCTTCTCAATTGACACCATGATGACGTTCTCATGGCGTGATCGACCTAATATATCCCATTGCGGTTGTCTGCCGTGGTTTCAGTCATTACCGCCTAACGCTTCACACGGGTTGAAGAATCCACATTCTCGACTGAATTAGATGCGGAAGATGTAGACATCTGTCACTGACTCTAGACCGTTCCCGATAGCGCATGATTCCCAGTTTTACTATTTTGAAGAGAGATTACGCATAAAGTTCTGAGTGGTGTTTTAATCCAGAGAATCGAACACAAACAAGAACAGGGATCATACCTCCACAAGCACTTTATGATGCTCCTGAGATGTTGAAGGTAACGATTCTATGAGGTCTCGAAATCGACCCAACTCCAACTCCGCCGCACGACCTAAATACATCATTATAGAGGAGCTTAAAACTACTTCTTATCAAAGCATAATCATACTTCTCTTCGTTTGCTCCATGTAGGTCACCACCTTTCCCCATATGAGCTTAACACTTCCTTAAGAAATATGAATATCATTCCAAAGATCTCCACCTAACTCCGTTCACTGTACCATGGATGAACCTGCTGGTAAAACCACAACAGCTACATCATAGAATTTATTTGAAGGAACGAAACAATCGTTCACATAACAATTTGTTGACAAATAAAACCAAACAACAAGCTATATAAAGGCTGTATGAACAACAAGGAAGCAAAACAACAAAATCAACAATAGTTATTCTTCGTAACTAAAGATGTTACTACTTTTTATAAACCACACAGGATTCATATCTTAATCAATCGTCCATGGCCTCGCTTTCTTGCGACGCAGTAACCTTACTTCCTGATCGTCCTACCTGAAATGGCAGCGTTCAGCAAGAAGTACAACTCCTATCTAAAAGCTATTGGAAACGAACCCTAGGGTTATAAGTCCACTTGGGGAACTCTCTTGTAAAGAGACATCATTACGGAATCAGCAGCGTTTAGTTGTTGATCAAATCGGCATTTCATATGACCATGTGTACCTGGAAACAAGAACACTGAGGACTGTAAACAGAAGTACCATACCATTAATGTTCTAACAGAAGTGTAACGAACCCAGTGCTTCTTTTATATGTCCACGGCGGCCACTTGGTGTATATAATTCCACTGGCTTGAACCATTCGATATCCTCTGTAATTTTAGGCAGTAATCGAATACAGACAAGACAAGGCAAAATCAGGCATTCTTGCCATGGATTCAGGATAGAGGCTTTCCAAGCCAGCGCTTCAAAGCTAACATCAAAAAGCCTCTCCGCTGAATTATGCTCATTAATCGCTCACCTCTGTTGAAGAACATGTAACGGCAAACAACCGATCGTTTATTAATTTGTAATGGATTGCTTTTCTTTTTGGACATTTTTCTAAAAATTCGTTTCCAAAACGTATTATCTAGCGATTTAATACTAACAAGCGACTTGTGTTGCCAACGGGTGCTGAGAAGTATAAATGAATTGAAATGAGCGCAGTGTATTTTTCCACCAAGATGGAGTTAGAATAATCTTTGCGACAGAGAGGGTGGATGTGACGGGTGTCGGCGTTGCAGCACAACAAGCATTCGATGTAAGTAATATGTTATATTATATCTTCTAACAAAACAGCTGTTTATCGTAGGACATGGATGATGGGTTTTAAAGTGTATTCGCTCTGATAAGGCGATTGCATTTTCGTTGGTGTGTCGTCTGTGGCGCTCCGAAATGAAGTGCCAAGGAAAACTAACTAGTATAAATATAGCATATGGCCGATGATTAGTTATGTTCACACAAGACATTTTGCGCATGCGCATCTCCTATATGAGGTGTTCACCACACAAGTGAAAGTGAGCACAGTGGAACCCATTAAGGATTCGCAGGGAAGGAAGGTCAAAACAAGTTGCCGGGAGACAAATTTGGTTTAGGTATAATCTGCCGCAAAAACTCAATGCAATTAGTGCGATATTAACTTTCATGATGCATTCAATGCGGTAAACGAGCTTCCTCCCCCTCCCCACCCTTGTTTTACATAATAGAAGCAATAGCAAATAGAAACCACCTCTTTGCCTGCTTTGCCTTCACGGAATACCAAGACTGATGCCGGAGGAAAAGTAATTGGCGCGAAGACAGAAGCAACGCAACACGCATTCGCAGGCAAATAACGTTCCATCTAGAGAAGCAAAGTAAGAATATGGTAATGAGGCTAGCTAAGACCGAAAAGTTTGAAAAAAAATTGAAAGAAATCATCTTAATTAACCTTGAACTTGTTTCCATTAGTGTGCTGACTGAAAATGGGAGACGCCTCAAATTTACGAAATCCGACACTGAAGATTAATTTCTAAAACAATACATATTATAAGAAATAAGTAAGTAGGTAAGCAAGAGAAGGTAATTAAGTAAGTAATAAGTTGAAAAGCAAGAATGGGAAAGACAAAAAAAAACACTTTGTAATACAAGACAAACCTGTTTGCTCATGATCGGAACCTTACATGAAGGATGTTTTCGGATTACGAAGTTTAACACAGACATACGCTGTTCATGAGGCAACAGCTGGTACAAGATCAAGGGGGCAGATGGGTCCCATTGTTCTGAAACAAGCGATCCTGGTGAATGGAGCAAAATCGACGAATTCCTTCCATAATTATTTTTGTGTTAATAAGTATGAGTAGAACGTTTAAAGCGAAGTTTCGCGTACAACAGAGAGAGAGGACACCTCAACGCCGTGCTGTTTTGTGGTCAACTGATGATAAGAACAAAATAACAAGCTGATAGCGGATGCGCTGGGTTTTGCTGACCTTCTTATGGAAAAAGGATCTATCATGTCATTATAGGCCCGGTAAGCATAGGATCAAAAATCTACCCGAAGATGTTTATTAAATAGTCTTAACTAAAGGTTTACTGAATAAAGCTTCCAGGATTCAAGAAATTTCCTCGATGACACAGCCTGCGCTTGCCGCGATGACATTTCCATGTTTAAAATTTATATTTTACGAATTGATCAACCACTCTGCAGCAGCTGCCGTTCTATAGTTTTATAGTAATGTTGTTTTTTGCTATACCTCCTATTGCCTACTTTTACTATACCTTTGTGATTGGCACTGTAATTATTATGTTACACGTGTTCAACAAATGCTAGGTTAATTCTCGTTTGAACACATGAAGGGTTCTCATGTAATAAATATAGATATATAAACATGGATATATAAATAGAAAATAAATACATAATAGCTAAAGCGAAGGTAAATATAGATATATAAACATAGATATATAACAACCAATAAATACATATATAAAGCATAGGTAAGTGAGATGATAGAGGTAATTTTAAACAGGAAAAATGAAATCAGCAAAAAAAAATAACTAAGAAAATAAAATGGCAAAAAAGTAACTTACGAGCGAGTGTAATCGGAACTCTATCGATCTGCAGGGTCACATACTGCCCAGAAAAGACGCATGCTGTAGAATCATAATCACCAATTTCACTAAGAACTGTCTTTTTTGTTTTCTTATAGTTTTGAAACTGGAATATTCGCGCGTAGTCCGACGGTAGGTTCTCCTTGGCATCCCACGGAGATGTTCTATAACAATAATGGTACAGGTACCAAAAACATATCACAAAAAACAACCTCTTTTCAAATTTTGGAAAATACAACGTAGCAGCAGATAAGAGAAGTAAAAAGTAAAAGTAACCTGAAACTTTTCAGTCCACGGTATTTCTGGAAACGAATTCTTGCGAGGTCGTTTATGGGAGTATCAACTTCATCAGGAAACTGCGCATCTTCTCTTTCACGACGATATTTTTCCACCTTGAAATAAAGAGCTATCACAACCATCACCTTAAACGCGTAAAAGTAGGCTGCCTAATCCACAGATACCTACATACTTCGTCAAGGTCATCAGCTTCATCTCCGTCATCAACTTCCGACATCATATCGTCACTTTCATCAATATGTCGACCCTCCCCTTCACTCATTTCAGTAGCTGCATCCATCTCCATTTCATTGACATGATCTTCCTCTTCTTCCTGTTAGAAGTATTACTCTGATGTCTCAATGCTTGCCACAAAAATAACGGAAAGCCTACCTCGTCGGCGCTGTCCTCATCATCATCGCTGGCCGAGTCAGCATTGTCATCAATAATCCATGCAGCTTGGTACGATGAAGTTCCCTTTGGCACTTTACGGACGCCGGCCTCGTTTTTCACTGAATAACGTAAATATTAATGAGTAAAACAATGCACACAATTCACAATTCCGCTGCACCTACATTTGGCATCATCAGCAATATCGAACTCGTCAGGCCATGTCTGTTCAGCATCCATTGGATCTGGGACAATTTCTGACTGAAGGGGTTCACGTCGCGACTCATCGGCAACCACCAACACTTTTGGAGCCGTATCTTCTTTGATAACAGCTTTTTCATTCTTAAAACCCAACAAAAAATTTGATGTTAGAAGTTATCACTCAAATACTTTTAATTACCTGTTTCAATGGATGTGGATCAGCGTGGGCAAATATACGACCTATTTGGAAATCTCCCCAACCTTGAATATGGACCAGGTGGTTAACATTCCAAGTTGGACCACGAAGGTAACCGCTGGCCAGTACAGAACATATGCCAGACTATAAAAACTGGTAAGGAACAAGCGTAAGAGGAT